ATTTTAAAAAGGCTGGGGATGCATTTCAATTGTAGAGCATCCCTGGGTTCAATCCCAGTGCCAAAATAAATTTTTTTTAATGCTGATCTTGTGTCCTGCTACTTTTCTGAATTCATTTATCAACTCTAGAATTCTTCTGGGGAAGTCTCTTGTATCTTCTATAAGTACAAAAATGTATAGAATGTATTTGGAAAAATTTTCTTCTCTTCAAATCTTCAGGTTATTTCAGAAGAATTATTGCTATTTCTTCTTTAAATGTTCGGTAGATCTCAACAATGAAACTGTCTGATGGTACACGAGGAGTAAGAATTTTCTGTGCACTTTCACACAATACAACGACCATAGATAGCAAGTATGTACTATATATTTTACTTTTTTTTCCCTAGTACTGGTGATTGAACCCAGAGCTTCACACAGGCTAGGCAAGTGCTTTAACATTGAATCATATCCCAGCCCTACTATATATTTTTAAAATGTAGAAAAAAGTATTTTGAAAATTTTTACCATAACAATTATAGATATTTGAGGAGATAGATATGTTTAGGTTAATTTTTTTATAACTTTATTTATATAGTTATATGTGGTGCTGAGGATTGAATCCAGGGCCTTGCATGTGCGAGGTGAACACTCTACCACTGAGTCATAACCCCAGCCTCTGTTTAGGTTAATATATATATATAATTTGGATATCTATCTATCTATATATATATATATATATTTATATATATCTATATTTATATATATCTATATCTATCTATCTATCTATCTATATGTATCTCCAAATAGCAAATATCAAAATAAATATCTGAGTGGGGAAAAAAGCCTGATTAAAAAAAAAGCAGAGTCCATCCTACTTGATTTTATTTGTATAGAATTCCAGAATATGTAAATGAATAAGTAGTAATAAAATAAAAATTAGAATTTTTCCAGGCAGGGAGCTTGGAGCTTGGATATCGGATATATCCATATATGTATGTATATATCCCCAAATCATATTACCTCATTTAGTATGGACAATATTGTTATGTTTTCTTTAATGTTTTAATTTTAATATATATCAGTTATTTATTAATGAGGTTCAGTTTTATATTTTTATATATGCATAAGCTTGGTCTGATCAAACCAGCCTCCTTTGATCCCTCCCACAAATAGACCATTCTAAACCTCGTTACCATTGAGTCATATCCCAGCCCTACTATCTATTTTTAAAATGTAGAAAAAAGTATTTTTTTTAAACCTCTATTAATGACTATTCTATATTCAGGGCAATTTGTCTTGGTTTCAAAATATGAAACAGAATATGCAGTATTTGTATATCTGTCTGACAAAATTAATTTAATTTAACTTAAGAAACAACACTAATTTTTAACATAGCATTGATTTAAGTGAGGTTATTTATCTTCTTGCTCTAATTTCCTTGGTAGCCAATAGTTGACATCACTCTTAAGAAAGAATTCTCTATGGATATCTGAAGAAAATTTTTTCCATTTTTCTTCTATTATGAGCATATAATAGGTCATTTCACCAAGGGACTACTTCGAGTGGTGAATATATGTCAGGCTGAGGAAAAGCACATCCACAGATACTGTCTCCACCCATCTTGGATAGTCATCTCAGGGACGGTCAGAAGAGGACACTAAAAGAGAATGTGATCTAAGATAAAATATTGTGTTCTGTAAGTCATATCTCTCTGATGTTCTTTTTAAAGGTAATTCTCAAAATACTTTTTTGTATCTGTTTTAAGAATGTCTTCTATGCTTGAATTGAGACAAGCTTTTTTGGCTTCTGACATTTCTAGATGACAATTCATGGTTTATCCTCTTGCCCTCTTACTATTGGAATTTCTGTGGTCTTATTAACAACAGTGCACCCAACACCATGTTGCTCTGCCTCAGAGAAGTTGTCACGTCTGCATAGCTTTTTGACAGTTACTCAATACGACCATCTCCAGTTATTCTTGTTCAAGTAATCTTTCCACTTGAAACAATATTGTTTTCATATTAGAGAGATGTTATTATATGTAAGATATTTTATCATAGAGATTGGAGTTTAAAGTTTATATATTGAGTGAGAAATGACATTACCACAGAAATAGAATCAAAACTTATAACCCCTCAAAACAAGAAGTTAGCATGAGCCTATGGAAGTCACCTGGTCTTTCTCCCTGTGTACTACACACAGAGTATATTAGGTAATCTATTAAATTGTCCAAATTCAGATTTCTCTTTGTAAAAATACAAATACTGAAACTTTCACTATTTTATCATTATTATAGGAAAAAAAGTCTTTTTTTGTTGTTGTTATAAGGATTGAGACCAGAGTCATATAACTACACTTTCAGTCCTTTTTTTAAATTTTGATACAGGTCTCAACAAGTTATTGAGGCTGTCCTCAAACTTGTGATCCTCCTGCATGGAACTTTCTGAGTCATCAGGATTACAGGCATGCAACACTGCTTTACTTAGAAAAAAAATCTTTATTGAAGAATATTGCATATGAAAGAGGTTGAAAATATGTTGATTATTTTGATTCTCCTGAAAGAGAAAAAAATATTTGTCTCTTTTTCTTAATTTTTCAATTTTACTAATCCAATAATTGGCATTATACATTCTAGGAGAATTTTCCCATTGTTCAAGTAAGAATTCAAAAGTGCTGTAATAGAATGCCCTTTTGCCACTTATAGGTCCTATTATAATATTAATAACACCTCTAGGCAAGGGCAGAGGTAAGGATGAAAACATTAAATTCCTGAAAAGAAAGAAATATGTCTGATATGTTTCTTCAATCTACATCTCATTAAGATTATTCAGTATGTGTATGTTAATTAAGAGAAAAAATGAGTGGATATTTCAGAGATAAATTATTGCATATATTTTGCTTACAAATAATAATTTTAATATGTACAACTAATAAAATAATAATTCATAAATTAAAAAAGAAATTTTCAACTATACAAAAAAAGTATTACTAATAAGTTTTGGAAACTATACCCCTTTAAGTATCACCATATAAACTAGAACAAAGAATTAATATTTATTAACATTCACTGAATACTGAATAAATCAAAGAGTTTTCTGTTTATTTTCTGGTTCATATTTTAGACACATCTATCAGATTGAGTGTCCTCTTTTCACAAAAAAGGAAGTAAAAACAGAACTAGTTTGGCTTAATGGAATAGGTCAACAAGTGATAAAGTTGGATTTCAGCCCGGGTATGACTAAATCAAAAGTTTGATTATTCCCTTCTACAAAATCTCTTAAATATTAGTTGACAATAATAGAGTCATATAATTAGCCTACTAATATTATGAAAATATCAAAAATTTAAAAGCTGATGAAAAGAAAGTATGATTTTTTATTGGTAAATTGTTTCTAGGAATGTACAAAAATCATTTAGCAATATCCTTTCTCAAGCAGAGTCAAAATACTCCTTTTCCTACCAACAGTACAGAACTAGTGCTTCAAACATTAATCTAGAAGAAGTTTGTATTGATAAGAAATTAAGATTCAAAATATAGGTCAGATCATTCAAGTTTCTTAGTGCTCATAAATCAGGATTTTTTTTCAGAAATTCATTAAATCTTTTCTATTTTTGAAAATTTGTTCATTTGTAAGTTGTGAAACTATGGTCATATGTCTCCTTTCTCACAGTAACTGTAGGTATTACTACTTACAGTATGTATTTAGGAAAATCTTCTCTTTCCATCATTAATCTTTATTCTAGGCCACTGAATTCCCAGTAAAAGGGAAAGGAACACTAGCGCTCATGGTGAAGTGGGGATTCTCATTTTTCACCTATGTTCCTATTTCAAAGAATATAAGATGAAATACACAAAACTGAAACAATGTGGAGAGAGAATAAATGGAGGGAGGAAATGGATAATTATCTTTCCACTAGGTAGAGTTGGAAGTGTTGTCAGTTTACTTATGGATAATTTTAAGCAATGTCGTTATTTTATTTAGAAATGAACTATTGATCACTGAAGGCTTAACTACCTGTTCAGTGTTCACTAATAGGGAAAGATGGGCCTTGCTTACACATGTATGTAATTTATTGTCTTAGAAAACATAGAACACATTCGTATCTCTGATGGCCAGAGATTGCAACATTTCAAAGCCTAAGGAATTCCTAAAATTTAGTTGTGAATTCAAGGCAAATATTCACTAATGATAAGCCTGAATTATAAGGAACTTTGATTCAGAGTTAATGAAATCAGAATCTGAGTCACAGTTGCTTTCAACTTTCTAAGAACTCTACATTATTTTCTTTCAATTCATTTATTGTGCTAAATGAATTCCATTATATTTTGGATTTTAGTTAATGATAGAATATGGGCCTAATTTTACATACAAATAATCATGTCAAGGCATTTATTATATACCCTTCTGTATAGCTTCTCTCATAAAGCTTGTCCCAACACATATTTGTTTTCTTTTTATTTTTTCTGTTTCAAGCCAACATATATTTTGGATTGATAACTTAAAAGTTTAGCTTATGAGTCTAATTGAAAATGATTAACTGAAGATTAAAGCAATCATTATACATGATACTGAGAAACTGTAATGTCATGTCATGACATTTGCTCTAGATATCAATATCATTTAACCATCTTCTTCCTATATATGTGACCTTCTTTTGTTGTTTAATATGGTGGTGGCTGCCCTTTCCAGGTTCTTTTAACTAGCACAGTGGACAGAATAAGCTAGTGTCCAGGCGGCATAACAACTCTTTTCCTAGACTTTACACTCACTGTCCTATTGTTTTTGACTCTTTCAACCAGGCGCTGGATAAAAATCCCATATCAGACTATGCTTCTTGAAAACCCATTCTCAGACATCATTTAGATTCTCTTTTACAGATAATACCATGTACATGTGACCAATATATCTTTTAACTGCAGATATAGTTGCTAAATTTTAATGTGAATGCTAAATTCTAAAAATTAATCCCACTAACTGATACTCTATCCTCTCCAGGTCATGTCAGAGGAGACACTGAATAAAATGTTTGGAGGAAATCAGTCCACAGTGTCAGAATTTGTGCTTCTAGGACTTGGCCATTCATGGAGTTTGCAGGTCTTACTTTTAATAATATTTTTGTTGCTTTACGTGATCATTGTATCTGGAAATATTGTCATTGTGACCTTAATCATCACTGACCCTCATCTCCATTCCCCCATGTACTTCTTTCTGGCCAACCTGTCCTTCATTGATTTGTGGCTGTCCTCAGTCACCACTCCTAAGATGATTGCTGACTTTCTCAAGGACAATAAGACCATTTCTTTTGCAGGATGCATGTGCCAGATCCTCTTCGTGCACTTTGTTGGAGGGGGTGAGATGGTGCTCCTGGTGGTCATGGCCTATGACCGCTATGTGGCCATCTGCAAACCACTCCACTACTCCACCATTATGAGCCTGCAAAGGTGCATTGGGCTGGTGTTGACATCCTGGACCGCGGGCTTTGTGCATGCCATAAGTCAGATGGCTGTGATTGTTCAGTTGCCTTTCTGTGGCCCCAGGGAAATAGATAGCTTCTTCTGTGACATACCACTAGTGATCAAGCTGGCCTGCATGGATTCTTCTAACTTGGGAAAAGTAATGAATGCTGACAGTGGGGTTGTGGTTGTAACCTGCTTCATTCTCTTGCTGATGTCCTACACATACATTCTTCTCACTGTTCACCAGAGATCTAAAACTGGTGCATCTAAAGCCCTGTCCACCTGCAGTGCCCACATCACAGTGGTAGTGATCCTTTTTGTGCCTTGTATGTTCATCTATGTGTGGCCACTCAACATCACCTGGTTGGACAAATTTCTTGCTGTGTTTTACTCTGTTTTTACACCACTCCTCAATCCAGCTATTTATACCCTGAGAAACAAAGAAATGAAAAGTGCTATGGAGAGACTTAGAAACTACTATCTGGATTCCAAATGAAATGAAATTATTAGTGCCTGAGAATTTCATGAACACTTTAAATTGGTAAGACAAACCTTATAAAATAGGTTGCAAGTATGAGCCTTAGTGTTCCTGTCTCCAGATATAGAAATAGGGTTAATAAAATACAGGAAAATTCAATACTTAGTAGTTAGCCAGTAGAACACTAAGAATTATTACTAAAATCAAATCTACCAATCTGGGAAATACATCTACTCAGTTTTCCTACAAATAGTTAAACAATAATCTAAAATTTATTTCACAACAACATGCATTCATTTGGGTTGGTAGTATCTTAATAAACTTCTCTTGGGTTTTCTCGTAACCTTATTTAAAAAATAAGCACTTATTAATATTGACCTCCTCTTCTAACTTCCATTTACATTTTGTAAGAATACAAATTATTATTTTTTTCCTTAACAAAAATTCCTTTGCAAATATTAACAGTAGAAAAAAGCAGAATGAACAAGTGTCAGGCTGCCCTGTACAGGAGCTAGGTACATCCCCTCAGCCTTGAGAAATGGGGGTATTAAACTGGGGTTCCCAGCTGTGCGAAGCAAGTGGGTCTAACAAGGAAGTGTAAGAAAGTGCAAGGAAGTGCCTTAGCTCTGGGCTTGGGTGTTACCCAATGGGATTGGGCTACCCATCTGTTTCTTGTAACACAATCCCTTGCCTGATTTGGGTGGAATATGCTATTGAATGTCTTTTATGTCTTTTCCCTAATAAACAGGGGAGTTCAGGGTGCACTCGCTCTCTTGCCTCTCTTGCTCCTTGTGCCCTTTTCAGTGCTGTTCAGTGTAGGAACAGTGTAGTGCCTTTGAGGTTGCAGCTTGCAGAGCCTTCCTGACTCCCCACAAAAGGTACTTCTGTGTTCGTGTGGTCTTTTAGTTGCCAGCCCAAACGACGCAGAGTGACCCTGATTCAGTTACCGGTGGGATGTGGGTGGTAAACAAGGGTGATAAATAATATAAGGAAGAACAATGGACATTACTTCTATGTGAAATTCATTAACTCACTACAAGTTAAAACAAAAAAAGAAAACTAATGCTGTTTCCATTGGTTATGTCAGTGTTAAATACTGCAATTTAATGATTAAATTTTTATTAATTATTTTTGTGTAATTCAGAATGGAAATCAACATAATGGCAAGAACTGGGTCTTTTTTTTTTCTAGGTGTGCGGTCATGTTGAATTTGTTTATTCTTTTGTTTATTTATTCATCCATTCACCCTGCTAATCATTCATTAAGCCAGCTAGGCATCTATTACTCAATCTTCCATTCATTTAACTATCCATTTCACAAATATAAGTAACAAATAAACAAAAAAAAATTGACTTTGACAAAAGCAGGGAAAACACTCATCAGAGAAAGGAAGTCCTTTCTGTAAATTGTTCCTGGACAGCAGGATGCCATATGAAGAAGAAAGAAACCAGACACCTATCTCTCTCCCTATACAAACAGCACCTCAAAATGGATCAATTATTTAAATGTACTACCCAGTTCTATGAAACTACTAGAAAACATGGAGGAAATGCTTCAGGACACTGGTATGAACAATGATATTTTGTATATAATCCCTTGCTGCTACACATGACTAAATCAGTCAGGGTCACTCCAGGTGAATTGGGTTGGCACTGAATAATCACACAGACACAGAAAGTACCTTTTTCTTGGGGTTTAGTCATGGCTTCTCTGCCCCAGTTCCCAGAAGGGAGGCAAGGATGGCTGGCAAAAGAGAGACAGCACACCTGAGACCACCCTGTTTATTGAGGGGAAGACCTTTGAAAGTTCAACCCAAATAAGGCAAGGGATTGGATATCAGGGGGTTGCTTGATGATGTCTTGCAGTCAGCAGATTGACTAACATCTTGGGAGGCCACACCCATTTCAGGCCCTGTGTGGGATCAAAGGCAGAGGGAGGAGAAAAGGACATATACATCGCTCAGCCCAGTCAGAGAAGCAACATCAGTATAGTCCCCTCATGTGCTCAAATTCTCACAGCTCACACACAACCCATGGGTGGCTCTCGACAATCCTTAAAGCACAGGCAACAAAAGTAAAATTGTCAGATAGCATTACATGAAACAAATCAGATTCTCTGTTCACGATAAGATAAATTCTAATAAATGATGTTATAGACATGCCAATTACTGTCAACTCATCATTGCATATTGCATATATGGACTGAAATGTCACTCTATAATCCATAACTATGTTTAATTATTATATGTCAATTAAGAATAAAAACATATTAAAAAGTAAGAGTGAATGTCAGGATTAGTAGATTCAAAATCAAATTAAAGTTAATCAATTTCTGGAAAATTGACAGAATCTTTTTCACTTCCACAATTCCTCTTGCACCAGCCATGCTGTAGGCACAATGCAAACTAAGTTTTGCCTCTTTATTTTGTGAAAATATAGTACTTAATCCATGGGGATGGATCTATCTATCTATCTATATATATCATAATACATAGTAAATTAAAACATTTTAATGAGTAAATGGTGTCCACTTGTTGCATTCAAATTCTCATGATATTGGTTTATGTGCATCATTCAGGCACACTTCATTGGAATTTAACAAGTATTCCCCAAACCTTAAAATCATAAATAAATATTTATTTTATTTCTTCCAGAAAAAAATGTGGTTTTATTGCATATATATACATATATATATATATATATATATATATATATATATATATATATATATATATATATATATGACTTAAGGATATAAAAGTAAGAATTTCTTTGAGAAGAGACCAATCATGTATCCTTCTTGCACAAGGCACCCTACGAAGTTTTATCAACATGCTTAGTTACCCAGGCACTGGGAGGCTGCTGCAGCCAGGGTTCCTGGAGGCTTAGCTATTGCTCAAGATGGCAGAAAATCCTGGTGTCACCCATGTAGTGTTTGTTCTGCAGGAATGCAGGATACTGGAGTTAGGGGGATCATGGAGGCTTCAACCGAGATTTCAAAGAGGCCATAAAAAAATGCAGCAGGGTCAGAGTTTCTGCAGGCATCCTGAGAAGGCGATGTGTGGCATGGAGATGTGAAGAGTAAATCAAAGTTGCAGTGGAGACACCCAAGATTAAGAAATTCCAGTAGCATAGAATGTCCACTAAGGAAGGCTGCAGGAATTGAGATGAGACAAACCAACAGAAAAGCCACTTGGGCTGCAACTAACATGGTAGAGCTTCCCAAACACTTTGGACAAAATATCATGCCATGTGATCCAGATGCCCAATGTGGAGTTATAAAATTTGCATGCCCAGTTGGATTTCAGGCTTCTTCCTGGTAGGAGTGTGGCTCTTCATGATGTAGTATATAATCACAATTAAAAAATTAATCATAGTAATACTTGAATATATTTTTTCTTATCTTTACTTATCACAGGTCTTTGATTGTAATTACAAACAACATATCATGCAAAATCCCCTGTAGTTCCATATTTTAAATTTTAGTCCTTTGGTATTAAGCAATATTCCCTATAGTCATGATTTATATTTGTGGAGAGAAGTCAATGCAGAAATAGTTTTTGTTGAAGAAATTGAGCTATGAATTTATAAATAAATTAATTTCTTTGTATCATCCAATTGACAACAGAATTGTATTTTTTGATTCATATATTTGAATCTATATCTATATTCACTGTGGTGTATTCATGTGTATACATGGGAAAATTATGACAGATTCCTTACACTGCTTTTCCCTTTCCTATCCCCCCTCTCTTCCTTCCACTCACCATTGTCTAATTCACTGAATTTCTCATTCCTCACCCCTTTTATTATGGGTTAGCTTCCATATATCAGAAAAAACATTGGATCTTTGACTTTTGGGACTATCTTATTTCACTTAGTGTGGTAGTCTCCAGCTCCATTTATTTACTTGAAAATGTCATAAAGTCATTCTTCCTAGACACTTTAATGTAGGAACTATACTAATAGCCTTTGCAGCATTCCAGAGATTTTTGATTTATTGTATCACTAACTTCTTTGACTCTAGAAAAAAATCTTTTATTTCTCATCTCATATTTTTCTATGATCAATTACTTGTTCAAAAACATAGTTTTTTGATCTTTCTGTGCTTATGTGTTTTCTATAATTATTCTTCCTGTTGAATTCTAATTTCATTCTACTGTGGTCTGGTAAGATGCAAGGAATTATATTGATTTTTTTTGTGTTTGCTTAGACTTGCTTTGTGACCTAAAATATTATCTATTTTGAAGATATTTCCATGAGCTGTTAAGAAGAAGGTAAACCCAACAGTTACTGGATGAAATACTCTAAAAAATGTCTGTTAGTCCATTTGATTGATAGTATTAATTATGTCAGCATTGCCTTTGTTGATTTTTAGGTCTGTATGACATTCCTATTGGTGAGAAGTGTAATAATTACCCATTATTAGTCTACTGGCAACTTGTTAAGACTTAATGTCAATTTTTTTATATAATTAGGTGCACCTATGGTTGGGGCATAAATATTGTTCTATTTTCTTCTTGGATTATTCACTTTACCAGTGTGTAGTGACCTTTTTTGTCCATTCTGATTAATTTTTTTCTTGAAATATGCTCTGTTGATATGAGAATAGCTATTCCTATTTGTTTTCAGACTCTATTTGTATGGAATGTTCTTTCCTATTCTTTTGCTTTATGCCATGGATATCTTTGCCTATAACATAAGTCTTACAAAACAGCTGTAGTTTGTGTTTGTTTTTATCCATTCTGTCAGTCTACATCTTTTAATTGTAGAGTTGATACTATTTATACTTACAGTATTGTGAGATGTTTATTATTTCATGCCATTTGATTTCTCTTTTCACATATTTCATTGGTCTTAACTTTCAGTTGCTTAACTGGTCTTCTGGAAAACTTTATCCATTTGGGAACTCTAGGGTTTTTAATCAGTTCTTCTACATGTAGTATTTTTTTCAGTCTTTTTGTGGTACTGGCTCAATTTATTTTACTTTATCTTACAAAGTTTTTATGTTTCTTTTGA